AAAAAAAAAAAAGATGCAATTATATCTTTCAGAAACTCATCTAATGAAAGCCTAGGTAAATAAACCAACAATTATAGTATCACAGTAGCAAAGGTCCCTCAGTCTGATGACTAGAAAACACACAGACACACACTCACACTCACTCTCTCTGTCTCTGTCTCTGTCTCTCTCTCTCTCTCTCTCTCTAAATTACCTTAGTAGCTTTAGAAATACATTGCCTTTTACTCAATAAAGCCATCCCAAGGCTAGAATCTGTAAGAGTCTCCTACTATAACATGTGGAAACAGAAAATTACTTTCTTTCCCAAAGTCTAAAACCTGAGGCAGACAAAACAAAGTATAACTCAGACTTAACAGAACAAGTGCTAACTTCTGTAACTTCCAAGACAAAACATCTCCATAGCTAAGATAAAACTAAATATTGAGAATGGTACAGAGTCAGTTCAAATATCCTAAGGAAAAAATAATAATTCCATTAAAAAGTTAATTTCCTTTCCCTAGCTATACAGATAAATGCTCGTTATATATACATAAAACTCACTGGAAGCTGCCTTCAAAAAAGACCAGCTGTCACTAAGTTAAAAACATCTCTGGATTTCCCTTTTTAAAAAGGGGGAAGAAGGAAATCTCTCTAATTTAGCAATGTTTCAAGATATGTGGCTCTAAGAATTAAACCTTCCAGAAACCAATGATAATGAACTCAAGGAAAAAGCATTAGTGCTGAGACAGGACCTCTCTGCAGTTCATGAGAAGTCCTTAAACACACAAAAAAACATGACCAGGGAAGGACAAAAACAGGGAATCAAAGTCTGCCAGCACATCCAAAATAAGACTGGTATTTCAGAATCACCCAGCCTCTAACAGTTCTGAAATGTCAGAGCTTACTTCCTAATTTTGATAAGATAATGACCTGAATGTGTGGATAGCATGTCTCAGAAGATAATCTATCTTTAAGGATCTACCAGGAACATGTTGTCCTTCATTACCACTTATATTATTAATTTTACTATCTATATACTTTAAAGTCAGAAAAAAATGCCCTGCTATTTAACTCTCAATGATTTTATGCTTGCCAAATGTTACTCTAGTCCCTGAATTATGAGCTCCCCCTGAATTACTCCAAAATGAAGAATTTAGCATTGATGAGCAATAATCACAGTAAATACACAGTTCCAGAACTGAGGACCTCAAATGGTGATTTCTTTCATAAGGAATCCTATAGATTATTATAACTCATGCCTTATACCTAAACTGACCAGCTTGATCAACCAGTAACTGCATCAGGTGCCCAGTACAATCACACCTATAGCCACGTCCCAAACCATCCCTTCAACAAATCCAGATCAAGGGTCTTTGTAGCTCAAATCAACTAATGGAAAGAAGGGGAAGGGATTATAAAGAAGATATGAGAACGAGGGTTTGGGAAGTCTATAATGACTCACCTTGTTACTTTTCTACCTTCCATCTCAGACTGACCTTCAACTAGCCCCTCCAATTACTTCCTAGACCTCTCCCACCTTGTTCTCTAGAGTAGTATGCTAATCCCCTACCACCTTTCACCTGCTTCACTAACAGCATATCTACTATCCTTTCAAATACCCATGGCCTAATTCCCTTCCGACTACTCACCAACTCGCCACAGTTTACATTCACCTTGACCACCTAGCATCATGAAATACCATTAACTGCCCCTCCACAAAGGAGCTCTCTGCTCTGACCAGCCTCTGTGGCACTCCTCTCTCTGCTGACTCCCAGCCACTCTAATACTTTCTCTGCCTCAAGTCCCCTGCCTACCCACCCTCCCAAGTCTCAGATTTTGATTTTCTTCTTCTTTCCTATATTCTCACCCAGATTTCAATTCTTTCTGCCACCAGCTTTGACTGCTCCCTGACACCAGTAATCTGCTTCCACTTCCTATTAGATATGCCTCCTGAATTCATCCACCAAGCATTTACCCTGCACTTGCCATATGCTGTTCTGTGTATTAAATGGTCAGGATAAAAGATCAGTAAGACTTACAAAAATCTTCCCTGCCTTCAAGGACCAAAGATAAGTACACAAAAATGTTTAAAAGCATGTGATGAATGTGATAATTTACACACTGACATACAGAGATAAGGAAAAAAAAAACATCAATACTGATAGCAATAGTTTCCCATGCTAAGCTTGTACACTTTATTTAGACATATTATTTCAATTAATCCTCATAACAATACTATGAGATACAAATTCAAACTCCTTAATTTATTACTAGAGCATATGGCTAGTGACTAATTCAGGACTTGAAATCAAATTCGTCAGGCCCAGGGACTGGAGGGATAGCTCAATTGGTAAAGTGCTTGCAGCACAAGCACGAGGGCCCAAGTTCAATTCCCAGCACCACATAAAAAGCTGAGTGTGGTGGGAAATACTTGTAATCCCAGCACTGAGGAGAAAGAGACAGGCAGATTCCTGGGATTTGCTGCCCAGCTAGTCTAGCCTAATCAGAGAGTCCCAGTTCCCAGTAAAAGATTCTGCCTCGAAAACCAAGATAAATGGGCCTGGAGAGATGGCTCACCAGTTAAGTGCACTGGCTGCTCTTGCAGAAGATCTGGGTTCGAATCCCAGCACCCACATGGTAGCTAACAACCATCCGTTGTTCCAGTTCCAGGAGATTGACACCCTCTTCTGTCCTCTGCAGACATTGCATGACACAGGTGCACTTAACACACATGCAGGGATAACACTCATACACATGAAATAAAAATAAATCAAAAAAAGAAAAGAGAAAAACAAGGTAGATGGCTCCTAAGGAATCACACCTAAAGTGATCTCTGGTGTGTTCACATGCATTTGCACCTGCACACACATGAGCACACACATATGCAAAACTTGTCTGGCAAAAAACACTATGTCTAATGAAAAGAAATCTAGATCTGATGAGTCAGGAAATAAGTCCAGACCAAGGACATCTATTTAGGTCCCACCTGTATTTCAAACATGCTCAGAGCCAGCCAAGGAAGAGATCACTCCAGGAAATGATCAGCCTGACACATGTCCCAGAAACCCTCAAATCCAATAAATTTAAAAATAATCTCAGCATCTTCTTTGTAAAAGTGCTACAGTTCTTTAACTCTAAGATGCATGCTTCAAATTTTCACATTTTTGAAATGTGATGACATCATGGTGTAATGCTGTTTAATTGGCATTACTTCCTTATATAAAGTAATGGTGCCTCAGAATTTCTGGCTTCTTCACTTTAGAAATCAGGGTAACTTACCCTAAATTTGATCTTCAATTTTAAATCCCTTGACTCACCAAGATCTAATACTTTTCTATAATCCCCCATCTATACTGATGTTTCCCACCTTGCTACCACTGCTCTGTTTTAAGGCTACATCAGTTGTGCACAGATTACATGCCCTTCTCACTGGCCTTCCTGAATCCAGTTTCAATTCTTGTAAACTATCAAGAGCATGACTGGTCTACATACATTTTATCATGAAGCAGCATAAGCCTTCTGTTCCATCAGGCTCTTTCAGTAATGGTCCACTGGACACTCTAACTACTAGCCTACCTCTCGCCAGTCCGCCCAAGTGAAGTTCAGCAACCATGATGCCCATCAAACACGAGTTCCATAGCGTCCTTCAATCATTCTAAGCCACTCTTTTCTTAGGTTCCACAGTATATTATCCACTTAAGCAAGTTGTATGTAACTTTTCATAGGTGTAAGTTACCTCTTTATTTCCACAATGAAATTGAAAGGATCAAAGGCAGAGGCTAGATTTCGCAACCACACTGCATGCTTTGTGGTTAATGGCACAATCTAAAATAAGCTACATAAAATTCTCAGCACCCAGTCCTTCTGTGTGACCCTGGGCATGTTACCTATCCTCTGTGTTTCAGTTTTCTCATTTGTAAAGAACAGTTAAAAATAGTACCTACCTTAAAGGAAATAACATAAATGATTGTGTAGAATCTATACTTAATAATGGTTAATTGCTATTGCTTCACTAATAACAATCAACAGTACACTCATGTTAGCTGTTGGTACTATTACTTAGAATCTCCATGTTTACAGTACCTAAAATAATAAGTACACACCGTAGGACTTGTTGATTGAAGAGAGAAGAAGTCTTAGTGTGACAAGCAGCTTTTCAGGGAAGTGTCTACTTCTGACATTCTGAGGAACAAATGCAAAAAACATCTCCAGGAATGGCAAGAAATTGCTATGCTGGGTCTAGAGTAGCTCATCAATGTTAGGAGACTGATAGGGAGAGACACCCACAGCAAGCAGATATGTGCTCACAGCCCTAAGTATGCTGTGATGCCTGCACAGTAATTCTGTAGCTAGAGCCATGTAGTTGGGAATGGCATAGGATGCAAACAAAACTTGTAGAGAAGACGACTCAGGTACTTACTGAGCATGCCCCTGTAGTTGAGGTCCATATCCCGACTCTCTGATCGTACTTTAATGGCATCCAGAATAGCATCAGGAGACAACAGTCCCGATGGCCTCACAACATTCAGAAGCTCAGTAAGACTCATCAGGGGTAAACGCACAGCCTGCATGATTTCAGCATGATTTTCTTTTGCATTGTGCTTACACCAGTTTAACAAGGCTAAGAAAATATCTTTCTCGTGAGCAGCAAACGAATCTCTTAATACAATGTTCAAGAGTGCTGTCTGCAAAGAATAAAAAGGGAAAAACCAATCACAACAGAGCCCATATGCATGATCAGCTAGAGGAATTCTACAGCACTAAGGGGAGCATCTATACTTTCTTTTTGATCTTTTCTTCCTTAATCCGTTTTGGCTATGTGAATAAGAAGCAGTTGTGAGCAGGACACAGTGGCACACACCTGTAATCCCAGCACACAGGAGTCTGAGGCAGGCAGATTACTGAGCCAGCCAGAACTACATTGTTGAGTTCTAGGACAGACTAAGCTGTAGAGTGAGAAAAAAACAAGCTGCACCTTTGTCTCTTACCCAGGCGTTCTGTAGCACTACATAAAGCAAATCCCTCCCACAAATTTCTCCATCATTTCATCATTTTCTGTTTGGGTTTTTTTTTGGTCTTTTTGAGACAGGGTCTCCCTATAGCACCAGCTATCTTGGAACTAACTATCAAGGCTGGCCTTGAACTCACAGAGATCCGCCTGCCTCTGCCTCCCGAGTGCTGGGATTAAAGGCGTGCGCCACCACACCCAGCTCTTGTTATTTTAAAGAAAAGTTTATTTTGGCAGTTTTTAAAGTTATCATACAAAGTACTAAGTTTCATCGCTGCATTTTCGAACATGCTTTCTTCTTCATCACCCTCCTTTGCTCTCCCTCTGCTCCCCTGCCCCTTCTGGCTGCCGTGTCCCCTCTCTGCTTTCATGCCATGCATTCCTGCCCACTCTCTACTTCAGGATCTAGTCATCCCTTCTCATGATCTCCTTTCAGGACTGTACTCACCTCCCACATACACATTTTCTAAGTAAAGATATCCAGGTTCTAGGAAAACACATTAAGGCAGGGGGCAGGGAACCACCATTCCAGATTCAAAGAAAGACTGGAATAAAGCAGTTTTATTCTTCCTAGTCATGAATTTTGAAGCAGCAAGAAGAGAAGAGGAGGAGGAAGGGGAGGAGAGGAAGAAGAGGAAGAGGGAGAGAAAGGGGAGGACAGGGAGGAGGAAGGGGAGAATGGGGAGGAAAGAAGAGAAGGAGGCTGAAGAGGGGGAGAAGGAGAGGGAGTAGTAAGAAAGGGAGGAAGAGGAGGGGGAGGAACAAGAATAGGAACAGGAAAGCAGTGACTTAAGAGACATCCAATGACACATCACATCCCCTTTATGAACTGTCCCTCTTACGGTTACTAGGGATGAACCCTAGTTCCTTAGGGTACTCTAGCCTTGTGCATGTAAAGCAATTGCTCTCCCACTGAGCAATATCCCAAGCTCTAAATAATTTTCCCTTTTACGACAAAGAGTTCTTAGCTACATCCTCTGCCCAAGAAAATCAAAAATCAACATGCAATACCACAAAGGATCTTATGTGACCATCATCATATTAAAAGGAACCATCCAGCAGACCAGTCTCTTGCACATAAAACATATCCCAAAGAGGAAAAAAAACGAAGAAAAAAAAAAAAAAAAGGCCTCCCTCTTTTAAGACCTAGAATCCCGGCAGGCAGAGGCAGGCCAGATGACCTCTTTGATGAAAGGGACCTTTATTTTTTGATTCTTAGATCATTGCTTATGTTGTCACTGTGCAAGTACAAATACAACAACACACACAGAGAAAGTACTTGCAGGCGATGACACACCTTGGAAAGGGAGAGGAAGCCTTCACTGGAGAGCACCTCCTGAGCATTTCTGTCCATGAACATGCAGCACATACAAGTTAACTTAGGAAGTGAGTAAAGACTGGCAACATCAAAAGTCATACAGACATTCTGAATGTTAAGTATGGTGCAGAGATACTCAGAGGTAGAATCTTCCAGCTCTGGAAATCCGTACTTATGGGCCAAGCTCAAAAAATCCAGCAGCACCTCCTCCCTCTCATCTGTCAGCGTCGCACGCCCAGTGTAGATGTATTTGAGCAGCATCGTGAATGCTTCTGCAGTGGTGTCCTGAAGAGGGATTTCTGCTTCAGGTTGAGACTCTCGCATTCCACCATACAGTAATGCGCTGCATGTCAAAGAAGAAACAGCTGGAAAACCTCAAATAGGATTAAACACACACATACAAAAGAGGGCAAGGTATACATTATTCACAAATAGGAAATATAACACTGAAAATTCTAAATAGTATTAAGAATAGGTTCTTCAAAGAGTACTTTAATAGTAATTACTAGACTCAAAGTAAGAAAAAGGAAGGGTATGCCAAGGACAGAGATCAAATTAATAAGAGACTAAAGGCCAGGTATCTAGGAAATAGAGCGCTCAGAACGGTTAATAAGAGGATGCTAAGCTTGAACACTGAACAGGCTCTTCCTAATTTTCTAAGCTTCTGGCTTCATTTATAATGATATTTTCTTTGTACAAGATGGAAGTTTTGAAAATGTTTATAGGCGCATGCCTTTAATCCCAGCACTTGGGAGGCAGAGGCAGTCAGATTTCTGTGAGCTCAAGGCCAGCCTGGTCTACACAGTGAGTTCCAGGACAGCTGGGGCTACATGGAGACCCTGCCTCAAAAAGACAGAAAAAAAAAAAAAAAGAACACCATGGTGGTCTAGCTAAAGAATGCATGTTTCCAAGAAGCACAATGATGATGTGTGACTCCAGGTGTGCCTGCTTTGCGGTCTTTATTAATCCTGATTTACAGCCAAACCGCAGTTTCCACTGGAGACAAAATTTTCAATAAGCCATGGGCATCTCTACTTCTCCCGATAAAACTATAACTCTTATGGACCAGCTTTATTCTTGTAAGCAAAGGTCTAATTGTCAATGATAAACTATCACTTAGTTAATAAATCAATGACAATTTCCTTTTAACTAATAGATAAAATGTAATTAAGAAATCACCTCAAAAAAAATTTTTTTGGGTCTTTTTGAGACAGGGTGAGTTCAAGGCTAGCCCATTCATTATCTCCTGTGAGCACAAGGTAAAACAACAAGGACTCAGCTTGAGAAAGGTCTTCAGACCTTTAAATATAGCTGACGGGTTCTGTCTGGCCCAGACAACCTCCTAACCCTCTTAAGCCTATGCTGGTTGCTAAAGAAAAGGTGATTCCAAGAAGATAACAAGCCCACAAAGATATAGGCATTGTACTAAAGGATTCCACTTGTTGTTATGTGTGGTTATATATTTTTTCAAAAAGAAAATACTAGTGCTTTCTACATATAAACCTTCATAGAAAATATTATACACTTACCGAAAATATTGGCACCTGGCTGCTAAAATTACCCTGTGGGCAGGAAAGCGTTTCTTTTCCACAACAAATGTGACATCGCCATATTCTTCGCCAATCAACAAGGCACCAACATGCTCAGATAAAATGTGCACGTGGTCAATTTCCCCCACTGCAGTAAAAGGGCGAAGAGGGTGGCTGTTACTCATCTTGTGGAACAGGTGATACTCACTGACCTGTCACAGAAGGAGGGAGTGAGAGTTAGTGGAGGAAGAGTATACCAAGAAAAATCACATCATAAATACAGCCAAGTTAAAAGTTTAAGGTGCTTTAAAATTTATATCAGAGAACATTCACTGCCAATCAATAGATTTTTTTTTCTTTTCGAAGCAAGATTCACTGCATAACCTAGGCTGCTCTTGAATTCTATGTAGCTCAGGCTAGCCTAGAACTCACAAACCTCTTGCCTCAATCCAAAGTGTCAAAGGTTTCTTTACTAACCCATTTATTCTAAGAAGCAACTCAACCTGTTCTCATTAACTTCACTACATTCACTGCCTTACCACACTATGAAAACAAAAACACCAAGGTCTCCAAACAGTATCAGTACTTGGAGCCATTTCCACCTGGAAACATTGGTCCCTTCTTTCATATAGTTCCTAAGGAAAAAGTGTGATGGCAAATCCTCAGTGTCAACGTCACTGCATCTGGGATTAACTGAAATGAGACCTTCTTGATTAGATCATTTTTAAATTGGAAGACCCACCCTAAATGTGGGTGTTACCTTCTGATGGCAGTCCATAGAATGGAGTCCTTGTTTTTGACCCCTTGCCTTCTCTCTCACTGGTGAGCTCGTCTTGCTGCTGTGACGATCTTGTTCGGATTCCAACTAGGCTGAAGACTGGCAGGTCTCTTGGAATTCATCAGGCTTTCAGTGCCAGATTGGGACTACTGAGATAGCCAGCCTCACGGGCTCAGCAACTACCAGATTCTCAGCCTCTTCAGTGTGGTGCAACCATTGTTGGACTACTCGAGCTCTATCCTATAAACTAAGCTAAACTAATTTAATCTAATCTAATATACATATATGTATTTCTTTAAAAAAAAGAAACAGAACCGGGAGATATAATATATAATATCTCCCAGTTCTGTTTTTTAAAAAAATATTTTATTATTTTTATTTTTTAATTGTTCGTGTGTGTGTCGGGCGGGGGAGGGGGTCAGAGGCTCTCATTTCTTGGGTACTTCTGTTTTCTGTTTTTTAAAAAAATATTTTATTATTTTTATTTTTTAATGTATAAATGTATTGCCTGCAAGCATCCAAGCACACCCATATCGTGCAATGCCCATGGAGGTCAGAACAGGAGTTGGGGACAGTTGCCAGCTGCCATGTGGGTGCTGGAAATTGAACCCAGGTCCTCTGCAAGGGCAGCCAGTGCTTTCAACTGCTGAGCCATCTCTCCAGCCCACCAATTCTGTTTCTTTAGCGAACCCTGACTAATACAAAAAGGAACATGAACAAGCAGATTAATTAATGCTTTCAGCATTAATTTCTTTAGTAAGGCTAAACCTTACTAAACTATACCCAGCTAAGTCATTCAAGCACAGATCTAGGCATAAATTACAAACAATACATGAAATAAGACTTCATGTAGATTTGGTCTAGCCAGTTGTGGTGACGCACACCTTTAATCCCGGCACTCAGGAGGCAGAAACAAGCAGATCTCTGTGAGTTCGAGGCCAGTCTGGTCTACAGGGAGAGCTCTGTGAACCACTGCTAGACTCTAGCTGAATAATGACTGATTTTTTTTCAGTTAACTAGCTCAGAGGAATATTTACAATTCACCAAATAACAAATCATGAACATTAAAACAAGATATGTAAATATCTATCTTATTGGGTTCTTCAGATCATCATTTCTCAAAACATATTAATTTCACTTTGCTAAATTTACATTTTAATTATGTTTTCCAAGTGGAAACATAAAGTGAATAGTACTAGATACAGAAAATAGCCACTTAGTATGGAATAAACACAATTTTTATTGGCATATAGAAGTAATTTTAATTAGTGATTCTCAAAGAGCTTGCCATATACTGGAACTACATAGGAAGCTTAGAAAAATGAAAATGAGATGCTTGAGTCCCACCCATGAGAGAATCTCATTTAACTGGTCTGGAATGGGGCCCAGACACTGGCTGCAGTCACCATTCTGAAGTGACCCTAATGAGCAGTATGGAAAACAGCCATTGATTTAGAATGTTGTGGGCACATGCAATGGTTTAGGATGTGGTTTGTCCCCCAGGTCCACGTGTTAAATAGAGGCTGGGTCCCAAGGATGATAGACTCAAGAGGTGACAAGTAACTTAAGAGGGAGCTCTGAGGAAGACCTGAGGTACTGAGGACAAACGGATTAGAGTACTTCAAGAGGCCTTGGGCAATTCTCTCTGGAGCTGCTGTATTAAGTGCCTGCCTGGACCCACGTAGCTTTCTGCCTTCCTGTTTCAACATGTCACTTCCTTCTTCTACATGCATTCCTACCACTACAATACCATCGACCAAGAAGTCCTGAGCCAATGGCAACACCAAGCCCTAGCACCTCCAAAACTGTAAGCCCTTAAGCCTCTTTTCTTCATAAAGTTAGCTTGCTTCAGATATTTCATTATATATATATATTTTTTATGAAAAGCTAATACAGTTCACATTCCTTAGACACAAGTTCACAAACAAAACATATTCATAAGAACATTTATTTAGTTTTTATTTTGAAAATTATTGCATGGAGGAAAACAGTGCTACAAAATTCTCAGAGCTGCAGCCTACATACAGAAAATTAAGTCTACCAATGAGCTAGCTTATCTACAAATGGATAGTCTGCATCTACCTCACTTGTATTTTAAAAATCATATACCAATTAAATTAATTTTAAGCCACCAATTTTAACTTGGCAATAATAAAACTAGGAAAAGTACTTCTAAAATTCACGGCAGTTTATTGGCATGTTTCCTCAGTTTTATAAGTTATTCTACAATTAACTATGTATGTTACCTTTTGGAAATGCTCTAAATCTCATGAGAAAACATCTATGCGTCTAACGATGTTATAGTAGATGATTATTTACTTCAAGCTACATTTTATAACTCTGCTATGATTGGTTTTTAATACTTGTTTTGACCTGTCATATAAAATCAAAACACTTCAGCTTTATATAAAACAAGAATATAACATGTGGCAAGAAAGTACAAAGGGAACTATTGGGGACAAAAGGCACAGAATGGAGGTGTAGATGATCAACCAAAAAACAAATTTTTTAAATTTAAAAGAATATAACCAGTCACATCTACAATGGAACCTCTATACTTAGCTAAGGTTCACAGAACCTAGTGGAACAAGGGGTAGAGAGAAAACTAATGCATCTCTCAACTCTAATCAATGAAGCTCCCTCATGCACCAGAGGGCCAGGAACACAAAAGGTCACAAATGTCTGCAGAGTGTGGATCCTTGGAGAGGACGTGTATGTTAAACTCCACCCACCCAGGGCTCACACCATTGCAGAAGAGGTGGAAAGACTTTAAGAGCCAGGGAAGAGGTACATGACCATATAGAAATAAGAGTCCTACAGGCTCCTGGGACCTTGCTCATACGAACCTTCAGCAATGGTGTCAGCATGCACAAGACACATGCAAACTCAAGCAGACAAAAACCCAGCAAAGATCTGCGGAAATGGGCAGCAGGCCCCAATCTTAGCCAAAGAACTATTGGCATCTGATTACTGCTGGGTGAGGGAGAGCAGATCTTCTTTAAGGGAGTGACTCTACGTAGGCTGGCTAGACCCCAGTGGATGCACTTGCATTGAATGACGTCTGGGTACACTAACTTGACTCAACAGGCCTTAATATAAACGACAGAATGCACAAAATCCAGGTTGGCGGGGGGGGGTGACTATGAGAGGGCACAGATCAGGGAGGGGGATTAAAATTATTAAAATGTTTTGTATGAAATACACAAAAATTCGATAAAAATACGTAAGAATATTTTCAGTAAGAAAATAATGTATAACCCTAAAAAAAGGAATTAACCTAAAATTAAAGTTCATGAAGAAGATAGGAAGTTTTGAAAAAGATTATACAAATGCATTATTACTGTAGTAGATAGTCCCAAAGGTGGCTAACTTAAACTCCCTTCCTTTCCCTATATATACTCACCACAATCCCCACTGAGATGTTGGATCTGGGCTGGAACTAGAATCACTTTAACCAATGTAAGTGAGGTTCCAGGCCTAAGCCTTTAGAAAGTTTGACAGCTTCTACTTTTGTGCTATTGAGAACCCCAGGCTGCCTTGACCCTGTGGAAAGACCAAATACAAAGTGAAAGGCCCTGAGACTGTTCAGAAAAGAACCAATGTAACCAGGTGATATGAACACAAAATACACACATATAATTCTAGTAAGTCCTTCCAGCCTGCTCACTGTCATCTGAGCCACTCTAGTTGAATGGCTGGATATGTAAGGCGCTCCAACTCTAGCAAACACCATGTGGTTCAAATGTAAGCTGGTCCCTGTTCAAATTCCTGACTCACTCAGAAGAATATTAAATATAAAATAATATAAAATGGTTACCTAAGCCATTACCTCTTAGAATACTTTGTTACACTGCAATATATAACTATTAAGTGTTTTTATTAAATCTAATAAACACTAAGTAAAATGGCATGACACAAAGTCAAAATCAGGAGATTTTCTATATGCCAATAATAAAATTGCCAAGAAAGAAATCAGAAAAAAAAAAAAAAACAACTCTCCACAGCAGCCCTTGTGATGGTCAATACTGGTGCCAAAGTGGTAGAATCTAGAATCACCTAGAAGACAAGCCTCTGGCCATGCCTGTGAGGGATTATCTAGATTAAGTTAGTTTCTGGGCATGCCTGTGAGGGATTAGCTAGATTAGGGTGATCAGCTTCCTCCTGCTCTGACCACCCTACCTTCCTGCCATGATGGGACTATAATCCCAAAATAAATCCCTCCTGAAACTCTGAAACAGCTAGAGAAAAACAGAATACTTCAAGATTAGGGCTATTTAAGAAGAGTCCAAGAGCAAAGATTATCGAGAACTGGCAAATGTGACAGTGTGAACTTAAAGTTTCTATACAACAAAGAAAGCAATTGGCAAAGGAAGGAGAGCACCTACAGAATGGTAGAAAACTTTTGTCCAGTTTACACTGAACATGAGCTTAGTTCTAGAATCTACAAAGAACTCCAAAAATTAAACACAAAAAACCTTATAAATCAAATTAGTAAATAGGCTAATGAAGTGAATAGACAGCTCTCATAAGAAATACAAATGACCAACAAATAAATGAAAGGGTCAGCATCCTTAAACCATCAGGGAAATGCAAATTAAATCTACATTGAGACTCATCTTATCCCAGTCAGAACGGTTGTCATTAAGACAACAAACAGAGGCTAGAAAAATGGCTCCGTGGTTAAGAGCTCACACTGATCTTACAGAGCAGTTCAGTTCTCAGCACCCATGTCAGAAAGCTCACAAGTGTCTGTAACTCAACTCCAGGGAATAAGACATCCTCTCTGGCCTTCAAGCCCCCCACCCATGTATGTGCAGAAACCCACAAACAACAAATACTGGTGATGATATAGAAAAAGAGAAACCTTTATTCACTGCTGGTGAATAAAAAAAGAGAGAGAGAGAGAGAGAGAGAGAAACCTTCATTCACAGCCACTATGGAAATCAATACGAAAGTTCTTCAAAAACTAAGACTAGAACTACCGTGTGACCCAACTGTGGCACCTGGGACATAGACAAGAAGGGTACTAAGGCATCAAACCAGAGACACTCACATGTCCATGTTTACAGCTGCACTATTTACAATAGCCAACATAGAGAATCAACCTAGAGGTCTACCAACACATGAATGGATAAAGAAATTGTAATACATAGGCCATTTTAGTTTGCTTTCTATTGCTGAAATAAAATACTCTGATCAAAACCAGATCCCCTGCAAAAGCAGCAGGCACTCTTAACCACTGAGCCATCTTTTCAGCTCCATAATTACAAAATTTATTTTAAAAGTTTTAAGGTGACAAATGAAAGGATATTTTGGCGATTTTATACATACACGCATACACACAGCCTAGCAAGTGCAAGCTTCTAGTTAGTAAGACAAGAGACATTCAGAAATAAGTTCAGAACTAAGACAGTGATGTCTATTCTCATCATTACATTTCTTAGGAAAAAAACAATGCAATTGAAAAAGCCAAACCAAGACAAGTTGACCAGGAAACAAGCAAAGTCACCAGCATTTGCAGAGAATAAGTAAACACATAAAAATTCATGTGAGCCAACCAAAAACTATTCTAAAAACTCAAGGAGGGTCACTGAGGTGGCCACATAAAGTAATTATATGAAAACTTGCAGCACTCTCCTATGCAACAAACAACTGACTAGAATATATGGGGAGAATTGAGTTCTAATTTATAACTGCAAAGTACATGAAATATCCAAGAATAAACTCAGAGAACATGCAAAAGAAGTTATAAAACTGCACTGAAGCATATGAAAGACAAAGAGGCGTACATTGTCAAGGAAGATCCAACACTATGAAGACATCACCTCAACCCATCATATGAAAAAAGCATGCTTGATATTTTATTAATTTTATATTGCAAACAAAAAAGTGCTATTGTAATAGAAACTTCAGAAGGTAGAATTCAATGAACATTTTTGGTAGAATACAAAGTTAAGAAAATATTTTGGGGCTAGAGATGGCTCAATGGTTGCTGTGTGATTATGAGGACTTGCGATCAGATCCCAGCACCCACAGAACAAGCCAAGCACAGTAACCCCAGGGTTGAGGGAGTCAAAGATGGAAGGGTTCTGGGGCTTGCTTGCTGACTGGCTGACCAACCTAGCAAAAAATGAACAAATAAACCAAACTTCCACATTCAGGGAAAGACTTTGCCTCAAAAGAATAAGGCAGAGGGGCTGGAGAGATGGCTCAGCGGTTAAGAACACTGGTTGTTCTTGTAGAAGACCCGGGTTTGAATACCAGCACCCACATGGCAGCTAACAGCTGTCCGTAACTCCAGTCCCAGGGGATCTGACAGCCTCTTCTGACCTCCGCAGGCATTGCACAACATGGGTGCACTTACCTACATGCAGGCAATAAACACATGCACATAAAATTAAAAAAAAATAATTGTCTTAAAAAGTTTTTTAAAAAAGAATAAAGCAGAGAGTGATAGAGGAGAACACCTGGCGTCTTCTTCTGACACAGGCACATGCACCCCCCACACACACAAACGCATACCATACCCCCCCTTGCACACAGGAAAATATTTTGTCAAATGGACTTGAAAACTGAGACTGTAAGGGCTGGCTGGGGCTGAAGCTCAGCAGTACAGTGCTTGGCTATGTGCCTGAGAATCCTCAGTCCTACTAGCAAAAAATAGACTGTAAGAAGAAAGTAAATTAAGAGTATACATATTTTATATTTATTGAGAGGTTTTGTTTGTTTGTGGCACTAGAGATCAAACCCAGATCTTCAAACAAGTTTGCTTTTTTTAAAAGAATAAGCTGCTGGCTAACCACTTGAAAATAACAAGCTGGTTCATGCCAAGTTGGGCACTTAGCATTAGCTGGGAGTGGTGGCGCATGCCTTTAATCCCAGCATTTAGGATCTCTGTGAGTTCAAGGCCAGCCTGGTCTACGTAGTGAGTTCCAGGACAGCTGGGGCTACAGGGAGACCCTGTCTCAAAAAGACCTAAAAAAAAATAAATAAGCTGGAAATTTGCACAAGAGTACAAAAATACATATGGATATCAGTTTTAAGTAATTTCTGTAACAACAAAAACTGGGAAAAGCCTAAATTTCTACTTACAGGGAACTGGTCAAACAGTGGCATCTCAATATTAATAATAATGTTATGTATTAATATTAATAATTTTAATTAAGAAAACTGGATACTAAAAACACTGAAAAAGTGTTTGTTGTTTTGTTTCTGGCAAGGCTAGGGGTTGAACCCAGAAGTTTATGTATGCCAGACAAGCACCCTATCACTGAGCTATACTTCAGTCTTGAAAAAATCTTAACTATATATATTTACATGAAAAAATGAATACTATAAAACTACTGTAGATAATCTTATTTTATTAAGTAAACAAAATATAAACACTGAAAAGCCAGGACTATACATCAAATTGCTATCAGGACTAATCCAGTAGAGTTTTACATATTTCTATGATGCTCAGACATTTTATAACAATCATGCTTTATTTATAATAATCATGCTTTGTTTGTATATCAGAGTATTTCAACTGTCTGGTTGTTAATATCACAAAATTAACTGTATGGTATTATTAAAAAAGTGTTTTAACCTTGCTACACCAAGTAGTATCTGATTTAGTGACAGAGATGGAGACAGTACCCACAAGAACTATTTCTACAGATATAAATTAATCCAGGGGTCATGGCATACTCCTGTACTTGGGAGGTGGAAGCAGAAGATCAGGAGGTCAAGGTCATCCTCAGCTAATATGAGTTTGAGGCTGGTCAGGGCCATATGAGACTTGTCTCAAAAAAAAAATATATTAAGAAGCAGAATTTCCAGATACAAGTAAGTTAACGAAGATCCAAGGACAAAAGTTCACTGCACTGAGAGGTGTACTGATACCCAGGGAGACAACCTTCTAGAATTCTCTGCCCATACATTCCAACTTCAGATCTTCATCTAGGAAACTCTTTCTAGATTTTCCCAGATATAACATGTTCTGACTTACCCCTGTTGCAGTTCTAAAGTCTGAACTTACTGATTTCCACAAGTCAAGAGTAATTTATTCATTCCAACTCTTTCCTCAAGGTGGTAGGAAGCCAGGGGGACAGGGCTTGGTTTAAGATAAGACAAGAATGTCTCCACCAGGAAATGGTACCTTTCACGGTACAACATACAAATATCAGCTAGAGGTTCTGGGACCGCATAATATTTACTAAGGGTAGTAAAAAACTACTACACTATTTCTTAGTTGACTTTCATTACTTCAAATGCATCAATAATCAAAGGATGACTGATTAGCAGTGCTAAAACACTGAGGGTTTTATTGCCTGCTTATTATGCAGCAAGAGACCCATGTCCATTTATTCTAACCAAAATAATAAACAATGTCTATCAACAAACTGAGAGCGCCATATGTAGCTCATAACACTGTAATGTTATCACCGCTTGAAAGGAAAAAGCGAAATAGACCTAATATCAATTTCTTAAAGTTCACTTTCAACAACTGTTTATAAATTTTAACTTAACAAGGACTAACAACTTTTTTTGATAATTAAAGG